AAAAACCCAAAAAGCCCCCCAGGAGGGTCACTGATGTGAGGCCTTATAAGTTCGAAGCAGGTCACACCTCTCAGGATTTGAGTGAGCCAATGATGAATGGTACCTTTGGAAGGAAATTTTACGATCCTTTGTCTCTAGCATGGTGTTTTGCATATGGAACTTAACTGGTTGTTCAAGAGAGGAATCTTCAAGATTCTTATAATACTAATGTGTTGCATAGGTATCAACATATAATATACTCTCTCATTTAGATAATGAAAATAAAGAAGTCATTTCGTATAGCAGTATGTGTCTGTTTCAGAGAGAATTGAGTAGGGAGGAAGATTCTCTCTACTTTTACTTTTAGGTCGTAAAGTTTATCTGATCTGGCTGAGGTGTCCTGGCCTGGAGATTGTTCACAGACATACAGGCACCGAGTCTGGTTTTGGGTGAGGGGTCTGTGATTGATTGTTGAGCGTTGTTGTCTCCTGTAGACAACTGCGAATGATGGAAAATAAGTAGGAAAATCAGACACACCTCTGGCATGCAAGGCTTGAAGGCCATGGTGGCTCTCTGGCTGTTGGTGCCTGCAGGAGGGGTAGTGGACGCTGTCAGGTGGTGTGCTGTGGTGATGTAGGCTGTAGCAAGGTGCGAGTCCTTGAGCTTGTGCAGCAGGGGTCGAGGCAGTGTCACCTGTCATTCTGAAGTGAGTTGATCTGAGTCAGATGGTTGTTTGTAGGTGTTGTTAGCCAGTAAGCTATCCGTGGTACCCACAGTGTGGAACAGCCGGGTTGGACTCTCACCGGTGAGAGTGCAGGTGGTTCCGGAGCTCACAGGGAATTGTTTTGGAGATTTTGTTGTGTGAAGAGAGTTTCAGACTGACCTAGTGATGGTGACAGGAGGGCAGCAGTTTTTTTTAGCCCTCTGTTCTGCTCGAATGTCACCAGAAGTCTGATGTTTGCAGTGTCGTTTTGCTCTTGTGGCATCACCGACTTGAGCTTGCCTGAGTTGTGTTGGTAGAGGTTTTGCTGTTGGGCATGTGGGCCCGTTGCTCCATCCAATATTGTCTGGCTGCTTCTGGGGTATCAACTGGTTTTACGGGATGCTCCTCCCTTGGAGGGGTCTGATGCTGTGTTGTGTTGGGCAAGGAGTCAGAAGTTTGTCCTTCCCAGTACTCCTTAGTTGAGTTTTGTTCAAGGAGCTCTTTTGCTAGTGTCAGCAGCTTGTAGAATTGCATTGTTACTGAGAAAACCATTTATGTGTTCTGTACTGTGTTCTGTACTTTCAGATATTAAATTAATATTTAATTCACAAGTTCTAGTTTAGGACATTACATAAAAAGTTGGCAGTGTGGCTGAAATAACTATGTGCTATTATAGGCAATACAGTTTAATGCTCAGAAAATGAACCAAGCTTGTTTGGACTTCGCTGGGAAACCGGGCAATACCTTCTTCAATACCTTCGCTCTTTATTTTAGATGTGGCCATAAAATGACTGGTTTCTTGACATTTTGGAATTGTAAATTCTTGAAAAGATGTAATTATTCATTGTTATCATTGTCTAGAGTAGGTTGGACACTAGTGGCGCTTTTCCACTGCATGGTACGGCACGGTAATGCCGAGTTCACACTGCATGATTTTCAAAGACGTCGCATCACTGTTGGTTTCACACTGAACGACTATCTGGGGTAGCATTCAGTTGTTGCTGTGTTCACACTGCACGATGGAACCACGACAGGAGGTTAAACACTGCATGACTTCACAATAGGAAGAATCACAGACAGCTCTGTCTGGTGCAGGGTTGCCAGGTTTTCGCTACAAAACCCGCCCAATGATTACTCAAAACTAGCCTGAAAATAGCCCAATTGCTTTCGAGGGGGTCCCCCAGTAAAAATCGCGGAGTAAAATACAAATTTTTTTGGCGGGGTTCTCCTGGTACAATTCACATTCCAGGGCCTAAATATCACGTTATTGGGGTCG